ATATAATACATAAAGCTTCAGGTGAACACAAAACTTCCAGATTGTCTGATGTGACTTGATATCGTTGAGTTTCTCATTATACTATTACTATCGTCTTGGAGCACTGTCGACGACAACTCCAATATGCATGCTGCAGTTATACTAAATATGAGTGTCTCTAAAACTAGTGGCTTCCAGCGAACAGAGCTGCCTGTTGAACACGGCGGAAGGTGCAATTCCAGTAACTCCTTCAACAGCTATGGTTCATATGATTTGGAGTCCTGTCATACAGAATGCAGGGACAGGTGAGCTTAATCTTTCTTTAAATATTTGATACACTATTTTTATTTCTTTTAGTTATAATTTTGGTTTTCCATAGACCTTCCAACCTTCCAACACAAACGAAAGATCGAATGGACAGTGTGCCTGCAAGCCTTATAACATTTTATAATACAAGAGTTTCTTCATTGACCGTTAAATTGTTAAATTGTTTAATTGTTTAATTGTTTATTGTCAGGGATCTGAACGAGACTTGTGGGTGTATTCCCGTCCTCCCGCCCTTCAATATACACGGTTACAAAGCTTGCACTCTCAAAGAAATGTACGATTGTGGTAATCAAGCTTATTTTAACTTCGGTAAGATAAATCCCAAAACATTTCCTTATCTCAAGTTTATCCAGCTTGAATTGGAACCATTCTAAGTCAAGTTATAAATTATAATTGCATCAATCGTATGGATGGACCAGATTTTTTGTCTTTTTACAGCAGTTTGGTCTGTTTGATTCAGACCCAATAATTTATTTATATTCATCTGCAGTTCTAGAGGAGTCAGATACAGAACAGAAGGGTAAACACTCTTGCAACTGCTGGGTACCCTGCAGACACTACAGTTACGAGCTCTCTACTGCTACCACTGCTATATCCAGGTGGCAATTAATTAGCAGTTAATTAATTAATTAATCATAATAAATCAATTAGCAATTAATATAGGATCTGTCTTGAAATTAACCTGGGATTAGTTTTACTGTAGGCATCTTGTCAGTAATACTAATTCAGTATTTGTGACCCAAGGGTCTTCTCTGGAGGTCACCACTCACCAGACTCAGACACCTGAGGAGACCCTTGGGTCACAAATACTGAATTAATAGATGTATTTTTGCTACAAAAAGGAAGAACGTGGTAAACGCTATTGAATGTTGTTTGGTAAACGTTTAAGGATAATTAGTGATAATTAAGGATATTAGGGATATTAGGGATATTCCATATTATCTCATTGGGAAAACCAACATTACTTCTTATCCGATCAACTACGCTCCAAATTAGAGTTAATTAAGATTTCAGTCGCACGGTTGGATACTGGTAAGTGTTTATTATTGTTACCGATAAGCACGCCCCGATTGGGGCCAATAAGGTAGCAGATAAACCGATACATGGTAACATAATTACAATACCAGACGGGTTATTGTAAATACCTCTGATGAAATACTAACGACCTGTTTAAACTCATTCAATGGCTTAACGAGAGGCCTGCAATCACTGAAAGTGTAAAAATTTTATCTGCCATCTGAACCTGAAAAGAGACGTCGAAAATTAACTCCAGCATGGCGTGTTCCCGCGATTTCAACCATCAGCTCCCTAAAATTAATACAAGTTCATCTAGACGTTAAGACTCGTCTAGACCGGATTCTGTAGCGACACACCTTCTCCTGAAGTCTGGACCCCTTGACCACACTCCACCATGGCGAAGTAAAGGTGAAGGGATGAACGGAGTGACCGATCGGAAAAATTCGATGACATACGTTACTCCTACACTGATTATTTGACTCTTGCGATCTGGGATATATGGGCCCTTGTTGGATGTTGATTCTGATTTCTAGATCTCCATATTCTTCGGCATATATATTTGGATATATTCAAAAATCTTGAAAGGTTCAAAGCTGACTTTATGAAAATTTCAGGGAGTATGCCGAGACGAAATCTTCTGGTAGGGAAGGAGAAAGACTAAACTTTACAACTGACGATGTTTTGTACGTATTCTGTTTGGTTGGTGGAACTTACCATTATCAAACTTCCTACTATACAAAATGTGTTCTATTGTGTAACCCGCCAAATAATAATACTGTCAACGGTATTTTTGGTAGCCTTCTCTTGGTCAAACATTATAAAGCATAATCGGTAAAAGGGTACTAAAAGATCCAAGTAAGTGGTATATTTCAATGACTCGATGGGTCTGTTTGCAGGATATTAATATTCCTTGGTGGGTATTAGGACCCGGTCGGACCTCTTCTGGCTGCACCCCCGATCGTGCGCTACTTAATTAGTGATAGCGGCATCTTAGCATCTAATTGCAGCCACTGATCGATCCCGCTGTACTTTGTGGAAAAACTCTTGCTATAAGTTCAAAGGTTCCTCCACAAATTGGCAAACTTGGACGTATTGATGAAGTCGATCGTGAAAAATGATCACTTGGGCAAGTACTATTATAGTGTATGGCTATAACTATGTTTAACTATCAGATAGCTAAAAATTCTTATAATCGGTTAAAACTTATAATAGCGGCTTAGTGGCTCAGTTGGTTAATCCGGGCCTGGTATTGCTTGAGGTACCAGGTTCGATTCCCGACTCTGTCACTAGCCGTGGGGTGAGAGTCGTCGACGCTCAGCTAAGGATCCTGAGTGGTCTATGCAGCCCCCGGTCCACTCAGCCAAATACTCGAGAAATCGGGTGTGAGGGTTAAATGAGGAGCTGCCCATTGCAGCAAAGTCTCGGGCGAAGAAAGTATGGTACACACTACCTTAACCGTCACTGGCCTAATGTATAATTGAATCCTTCGGCTTCCTGTAATTGGCTGGTTACACACTTGTGTAACAATGTGGCTGTTGGAATGTCCGAAGTAAAATAAGATTTGAGATAAAAAAATGACTCGATGGGTCTGTTTGCAGGATATTAATATTCCTTGGTGGGTATTAGGACCCGGTCGGACCTCTTCTGGCTGCACCCCCGATCGTGCGCTACTTAATTAGTGATAGCGGCATCTTAGCATCTAATTGCAGCCACTGATCGATCCCGCTGTACTTTGTGGAAAAACTCTTGCTATAAGTTCAAAGGTTCCTCCACAAATTGGCAAACTTGGACGTATTGATGAAGTCGATCGTGAAAAACGATCACTTGGGCAAGTACTATTATAGTGTATGGCTATAACTATGTTTAACTATCAGATAGCTAAAAATGCTTATAATCGGTTAAAACTTATAATATTGAATTTTCGAACATGACATGATTTCGTAAGGCCACAATTACCATTTTACTTAAGATTAGAACAATTATTTTCCACTTTACTGTAGTTTGTAAAATTGGATTCGTAATTAGAGTAATCGAGAATAAGGAAACCTACGTTTACTAACTTATTTTTTACTGTATAATTGGATTGTTTTTTTTCCCGTGTTTTGCTTTCAGACACAAATCTTTTTACTATCCTCCTGAGCTATTTGAACCAATGGATAGTTTGTAATTATCACCACAGATAAGTTGGTCAAATATTAGTGCAATTGGGTATCACAGATAAATTGGTCAAATATTGGTGCAATTGGGTACCACAGATAAATTGGCACAATATTAATGCAATTGGGTACCACAGATAAATTGGCAAAATATTGGTGCAATTGGGTACTTATCTTAATTCTTCGCAACAAATGATGGCACCTTGAACAATTCCAACATCATTATCTACTTCTAATTAATAGTTCACGTGGTAACAACTGGTTACCATGGTCACGTGATTACTTCACCATGGTAACAACTGGTTACTTCACCATGTAGACAGGGTTCTACTCAGCTGGATACTTTATCTAACATCCCACCAGGAAAATAATGGTGGTCTGCGGGAAATAGACTTATCTAAATTGCTCTACCCAAAATATTTAATGTCAGCCACTGGAACACCACTGGATGTACAATTACGCGATACTTGGACAGGAATTTTTAGATTTTATCTTCAATGACTCGCCATTAGTCGGCTCATAGCAGGAATAAAGAGTGAAACGGTTAACGAGGTAGAGAGATTAATTGGCACAGTGAGGTGCTCAGGTGTACATGGAAGGGAACATGCTCATTTATGCTCATTTTTAATTAACCATATTAGGTCTAATCAACAGTGTGAACTGATCAACTGAATGTTTCATATTTCAGGAAGAATAACATCATCCTGGAAGCATATTTCAGGGATATGTACGTCCAGGAAATCTCACAAATCCCGGAGTACAGCTTTTGGAACCTTCTAGGTGAACGGCGAACAAAATTAGTATTTTAAGTTTTTATGTAAATCTGTGCGTTAATTAATTGAACATAATACGGCTGATTTAATCTTCCTCACACACACAGCTCCTTATTATCACATGATTATTATAGGAACATAATAATGTGTATATTTGTTTCAAATTTCAGCGGATGTTGGAGGCATGCTGGGTTTGTTTCTAGGGGCCAGTGTTTTCACTATCATTATTTCAGCGGATGTTGGAGGTATGCTGGGCTTGTTTCTAAGGGCCAGTGTTTTCACTATCATTATTTCAGCGGATGTTGGAGGCATGCTGGGCTTGTTTTTAGGGGCCAGTGTTTTCACTATCATTGACTTTATCCGCTATGCTATCAACTATACCTATAAGGAGTACAAAACACGGTTCAGAGATGAAGAATCGTCCGGATCGAAGAAGAGAAGGAGAAGAAGTAAAGATAAGAACAATAACTTCCTTAATAGTGACAGGGGTGGTAGAAAGGGTGGGGCACATGTCCCAGGGATTTGCAGCAAACGCCTGAAGAAAACAAAACTTTCACCCTCGGCAGAACGCTCGAAGAGCCACAACTCGTCTTCAGAGGGTATAAATGGAGCAGGAGAAGATGGCATAAGTGCATTTGATATGAACGGTCAGAATAATGTCTTAAAGCTGATATAATTTTTGATCTTTTTAATTTAATTTTTAGCTCCGTGGCCTATAAAATGTTAAGGAGAAATCAGAAACAGTTCTAAAGGAATGCATAAAAAGTCTAATATTTTTACAATAATCTCAAAACATGCAGACACATTAAATCTTATTATCTAAATCTAAAAGACATTCCACCACTCGGTTTTAACTCTGATATCAGGAGATATTTTAAAATTTATTTTGTAAGGTTCCGGTTTATATACCAAGTTTAATTGAATTTGCCCTATCGTTTAAAATAGAAATGATAAAGCCCCAATTCTCATTTTAAACAAGGTATCATACTTTAAACAAATGTACACGCATACTTTAACACTAATCAAAATCATTTGAAAATGGATACGATAAAGCCAGTTCTGTGTTAAAAACACTCGAATTGTAGCTGGATAAAGAGAGTTAAAAATGAGTCTAGGAAACATCATGAAATATTCAGTATCAAGGGTGCCTTCAGCCTACAACGTACCACGGATCACACGGCCAGTATCACATGTAAAACTGTATTAACGAGGTATAGCAAATAAAAATCAAATTATTTCAAAGATCAGAGACCTGATTCATCCAGGTCAAGAAATTTATCTCAAATAATCACTCGGATTCAAAAACCATCACTAAAATAAAACAATATAGTTCACTATCGCTAATACTAAAACATATCATTAAGTCGTCTATAAATTCTTGCATGTACACACAGAATGAAAGGTCATAACCGATCAGTTTTTAAAGTCCAGGCGATCTTAAATGCCTAATATAACTGATTTCTCCGGTGGTTCATCGTCTACTTTTTGGCTTGCAGTTCTCCACTGTCTTTGTGTGAGCTAGGGGTGTGAGCTAGGGGTGCTAGATGTTTCCTTCATTTATTGGAAGGACCACCCGAGGTTAAATGTTGGAGTACTGAAGGCTGGCTTCGTTGTTTTTCCTTTTGAGAGGGAGCCCGGTTTTAGTATTCAAGTAATAAAATAATAATAATATTAGAATAAATAAGCTATGCTTTCAAAACCACTTGAAAACTGGTTGAGTTATAATTTGAACTTTTTGACCCTTCACGACCGAGTCTTTGAATTGAAATCATGATCACTTACCCCCAAATAATCCCAAGTCCTTGCCAAGATAGTTAGTGTTAGCGTTGAGTCTGAGGTTGTGAGAGAGGAAGTTGTTTCCGTGGAGGGTGGAGCTGTTGTTGGAGCTCATCAGTCTGTCGTTGTAGGAGCTGTTCGGTTTGACGTAGGGCTGTGCAGCTGCGCTGTAGGATAGCGACCTACCGTAACTGTGATCTGAGAGGTATGGAGGGTTAGGACGTTAGGTCGCTCGTTCTTAACTTGGTAACCTGGTAGCCTGGTAACCTGGTAACCTGGTAACCTGGTAACCTGGTAACCTGGTAACCTGGTAACCTGGAGTGGAGTCTGCCAGCAATTTAAAGAAAACGTTCCATGAAGATGGCTGTAAACAATAAACATGTAGATAATCTCATTAGCTTAAACTTTAAATCTAATGGTCCGGAGTGAGGATACTCTGATCGCACCGGCGTTTATCTATCTATAGGTTTAAACTCACTCGAAAAGCCAGTTGAAAACATAGTCGTCTGAACGGTTTTGTTGTCCTTAGCCCGGAAATTCTGCCATTTCCTCTTAACCTGAATAAAGTACATTTTTTAGCATTCATCACGATTCTATCTTCCTGCTAAAGATGAATATAACGAACATTACACTACCCCCAGTAGCCTAGTTGAACCGGAAAATTACCCCAAAATAGATCGTCTGGTAGATGAGTAAGGTAACGAGAAGAAACAAACACTTAAGGTCGCAAGTACTCAACTCTTCGCCGCAGTGAGAGTTAGTAATACTGATATAATAATCACCTGGGCTGGGGTCAGGTTAAATTGTTTTGCAATTTCGTCACGTTCTCCTCCATCCAGGTACCGTTTATGATCGAAAATATTTCGCATCCCCTTGTTCTGAAAAGTAGGGATTGGTTAAGTTGAGGTGAAGATCCGGAGAGTGGAATGCTATGTCTGGCAAAAATTCCGAAGTCAAGTCGTGGTCAATATATATTTAATATTTATGTTATAGATGCAAAGTTTTTCTGATTCTTTCTTAATGGCTTTTTAAAGATCAGATCACGTAAATATAAAATCTGTCGACAGAAAAGGTCAAGTATGAATAATTACAATAATTACTATAATTATAATAATCATTGCACGTAAAATAAAAGTTAATAATACGGATAAGATCATTATGAACAATGCACATACCTGTATTTCTGTGAAGGTAGTACGTTTCCTCTCTTTTTGTCCTGGGATAATTCAATTGGTAAGTGCCCACTAAAGGCGAAAATAATTATGATCATTTATGGCCGTAAAATTACATCTATATAAACTATTAGAAGCAATTTTCGACGAATAAAAATAAAACTGGCACCGTATTAATATCGTAATAATCCCCGGAAAATTTGTCATCGAACCTTAAATTTCTAATTTGATCTTTAATAAGCGCTAGTGCTGGTAACAACGTCAACTGTAATTCCTTTAATTTTTTGTAAATACGATCGAAAATCTAATTTCTTAAAACAGTAAATTTTCACCAATAATATTCCAGTATGCCCTAAACATCAAGCTTAGTAACGTGGAAATTTTTACCCTAATTCTTTACAAAATTCGAAGGTAAACTCGCCTTTAATTCTTAATTTTTCGTCGACACGCCAATGAAGAGATGGATATATTTCATTCCAAAGTATTGTTAACCCCCACGTATAGAGGCTCCTGATACTTTATTTTATCTCACGAATCACACAGAAAATGCCTGTTAAGTGGATACGTCGCTATTTTTATTGTGTTATACTGAGTACAGGTAACAGGATAATATCATTAGACGTACTTAAGAAAACGAGCCGTCTTGTTTTGACTGGAGATACGGGTACCGGATAATATCTAGCTGGCTGCCCTCTCACACGTGCCCGGGGTCGCGGGGGTTTAATTGAATAAAGGAGTTACAGATTAGCAGGTACTTGAAAAGGAGATAACCAGACGCCAAGCTATTACCTAAGACGTGAAACCATGTCATCTGGACTCCAGATTGAAATCCAGAAAATGGTTCAAACAATTGCTCAATTGGTAAAACGTGAAAACGTTTAAGAGTTTATCGACCATGGAAAATGGAAGCCCAGATAATGTGGTCAATGTCGCCAGCTGTGGAGGGTTATATCTTTTAATCTAATAAAAATTTATCAGGGAGAATTCCTCTGCACTAAAATGAGTGTTTTATTAATATGTCGTTATCACATCAATTTATCATATACTGAATAGGAGGCAGTTTGGCTATTAATGCCTTCAATCGGTCAATATTTTGAGATTTAGCACCGTTTTCTCGTTCTTGGTACGAATTGGAACGCAGTATCTTTAATTCTGGCTGTAAAGGTCCTAACGCCCTTGTTAGTCGCTCTCACATCCCGTCTCAGATCATGGAGTACCTGATTAACTTACCCCTAAACACACCTGATTTGAGAGAGCCCACGTGACCGAATACGGGGCTACCATTGGTGCGTGAGCTGCGCTGCACGCTCCGCGACCGGGGTACCAGGGGCGACGGATTGGGACGCACCTGGTCATTGGGAGCAATACTCTACAACAAACCAACTGTCACAATTCAGGCAATTCATTAACTAAAGACATTGACGAACTAAATTGTTTGTTTGTTTCTAAGGGCAATTGCCTGGTTAGCAGATTGTTCGTATAACAAGACGGAGTACCTTGCACGAAGGTCATATCTCTACTCCTCTCCAGACATATCAGCCGAAAGTTGGCCGGTTTGCCGATCATGGGTGGTCTTCCGGGCAAGCAGTCCACTGCTAATATGCTGAATGTCCAGGAACTTCAGCCCCTTCTTGCCCCAGAAAAATAGACAGTCCTATTAGTAGGCAGACTGGAGCTAGCAGGCAGGAATTTAGACATATGACCAGGCGTTTACAAGCCCCTTAACTACTCTCTTTACCTTTGTCAACTCTTTATTATTATTATTTTTCAATTATACCCAGGTAGGGTGAGAGCATCCTGCTTACATGACTTTTCTGGGAAGTGCAGGATCCTGTTTATCAATCACTCATTAAGCTTTGAAACGCTCCACTGGGCTGCGAATCAAGGAGATCAGACCCAGATTTCTTGACGCAAAGTTTTACGCCAATATTATTAACCGTCTATCTAAGTCGAGGTCCCTACCAAAACTAGAAAAATTACGGTCAAGATTTGCCGATCATATGCAAGGCTTGAGGATTGGATGAGTGTGATATGATTAAATACTCGTTGGATCTTTCTCTCGACTAAGGGTAAAAATTAAGTTATAAATTGCTTCTACTGAGTAGAAATAATGTAGACATTGACACAAAGCATTGGAACGAATTGGTGCGGTGGTCTAATTAGTTTCAGGTGTATACTGATCATATTTAGATATAGATCTGGGCTCCTTGAAGATCTTGCGGTGCTTTTAATGCTAATACAGCACCTCAAAGTAGTTTTCAGGTCCAATTGGAGATAACTATGTGGTATTCAGCAGCTAATAGGGCAGAATTAGTGTCTTGCCTTGTTTTGCAATCAATTTCCTGGTGACATTCCGATATCTACAACTAGGACTTGGTAATTTTCTCTTGACCGTGACAGTGAAGAGGGGAAGTCAATCATCTGAGTGATTTCAGTCAAAATTTGGGTCAACCGATCGAATTGAGTTTCGGATCTACTAGACAAATTCTACTTCGCGCCCGACAGATGTCTTTTTATTATGATCAATAAAGAAGAAATAAAACATGGCAAATTGCTCCATTCTTAAATTTTTTGCGTCTAATTATCTAAAAGTTAAAGTCTAGACCCACAAATTGTTATTTATTTATTTTGAGTCTATTACAAATATAGAAACAGGGTGAACAAAAATTTCCACGGTTTGGGATTCGTTGTAAAATTTATAAATAGATGAATATAACTCCATTTGCCATTGAGTCTACTGACATGCTAGGCTGGAACCCAAAAAATAGCCGTTCTAGCCATCAATATTTTAGTATTTCCCCATATGACTGTCTGAACCCTGTGGTAGCCAACGACGGGAGCTGCCAGAACTAACTTGGATGTACTTTATTAGCCCATAATTTTCTAATTTTTAAATCCATAATTGTTGTAAATCGATCTGAGTCGATCGAAATTAATCCGGAAAAAACCTGTGCAAACCTTTCCTCTTCTTACATAGCTGATCGATCAGGGCAGTATTTTTGTGACAGCTTGGAAAACTAATTGGAAGTTGGTCATGTTTTTAAAGCGAAATGCCTTTCAGGGAACTGTTCATCTGGTTGCCGTATACGGGGTATCTAACCCGATAATTTGGGCACAAGTACTCTACAAATTAAATCTGAATCCCTGGAATGGTCATTATTGTGGGATTAATCGCCGGTTTCCGACACTACAGTGTGCGTCAAGTTGCAAATGTCATCAGAAAACGATTACCTAATCCCTTGATAGGATCGCTTATTTTATTATGTAACAACGCTACTAAGCATCTTTATATTAAAATTCCTCTCCGAGCAAGTCAGATTTTAATTATAGTAAGGACCTGCGGACTGTTGATGCAAATTAAAGACAATATTGGGTCGGACCAGGCAATCAGATCGTACCGATGACTAAGGTACTAGTTTGTCGTACTCAGGTCTAGTTGGAATCCGACGATTGTCTAAAAAAGTTAACCTCGTGACAAATTCAACGCCATTTTGACAGATTGCAGGGATAAAAAGCAAGATGTCGTGAAGTTGGGAAAAGTATCAACAAGTTAGGAAACGGATCGACAGTCATCCGGAAACCTCAGTGTCTATTTGCGATAGACAGCAATATTAAATAAAGAAAAGTTGCCTAGTCCCGGATTTGTGTTGATGAATCGATAAGAATTAATTATCAGATGGATTGGAGCTAGGGAGAGCGAAGTTTGTGATCGAGCGTCCGCCGCTCCAGATTTTTGCAATCAGACAAAACCTCTCCCTGCGCTAAATTTTCTGACGACGGCGAAACACAGAAAAAAACTGTTTAAGAATTAGGAGTAAATTTCATTGCATCTGTCAATCAGATCTTTGAGCAGGCAGCATGACTTAAATGTTTATTTCGGGAAAACCGTACAAATTGTGTACAACTGGTGAGATTTCATGATCATCATGGATCTCAGACTGAAATAAAAAGGACAAAATTTGGTCGGTCAAAATGCGAGCGTTCATCTTAGATCAAAATACGTGGGAATTATTTAAACAATTTAAGGTGAAAATTGTGTCGAAAATGTATTGAGCCAAGAGAATTCTCACTTAAATGTTTCCAATTGAGGCTTATCATTATCTAAATAAACATAATATTCGTTATTCTGTTTTTTTATCTGCACAACCTTATATCTTTAGAGACAAAATATGGAACAACAGAAAACACCATGACTTATAGCTGGACCGACAAATGATGTGAGCGACTAAAGATAAGAAATACCAATACGTTTCAAACTTATCTTTATTCTGATCGAAATCTTAAAATTCATTGAATCTATATTTTGAGGTTTGTGTGTAGTATGAAGGAAGCTTGATATACCTTTATATCCGGATAATGAAGATTCGAACATTAGTTATTCACAAAAAATCATACAATGGCAGATTGGTTTTCTGTCTTCAAGTCACAACTTTTATTCTTTGATTTAATAATGATAATGAAGCCCTTGTACGAAGTAGCCAAAGCTATATTTGTATGGGGAAACTGTATCAACTGAGGTTGTAAAATAATTTTTTGGGGACGTAAAAGATCAATACTTATCGTTGACAGTAATAATAGTGATACACCTGGTAATCTTAAGGCTCAAATCATACTCAGACCTTGATATGGGAATATATGGGAACGTAAAAGAAAAATAAATTGACTATGATTATCATAGAGATTGGAGGTTTCTTGCCGAACAGAAGTTCAGTGTTTAGTTTTTGCTATTTCGGAACAGTCCTCTTTGAACTGGGGTTACCTTTGATAACGAGTGATTATTAATTTGTCAGACTTATCGGCTCTAAATTTGCCGGTCCTAAGTTTGCTAATCACATCTTTTGCGGTAGTACTCAGAGCCGACCATACATAAAGCTGGTTACTTTTTGGACGGCAGAACTTTGAAGCGTTTCGATCTTTTGATTTATGTATTGATAGTGCTGGCTATTATGAATTATCTATTCGATTCAAATGAAATAGCGTGATTCTGAACTGAGTCTTTTATACTATGCTGTAATGTTGCTATATTGGTTCTTTGTATACGTCATCTTTCCTAATGTTATGTCCAAACTTATTTAAAAATTGTTCAATTTAATCAACAAATTGAATCTGAGAAAATCGAGAGATGACGCATTTGATAAACATTTTGCGGAACTTGAGACCCGCAAACTTTAGGTAGATAAGTCATCCACTATTGACAGACACAACAAAAACTGATCAACGGCAAAAATGTATCATCCATTTGCACCTTGCATGATGACCTCAAAGGAATCAACCAAACAAAAAGTAACGATTGGTTGTAAGAGACGCGATTTGTAAATGTTACATCGGACGGTACGTTGCGAACAAAGGTAGGCTAGTTATCAGCTACTAAAAAAATTAACAGAAATTGCATCTAATGATGATCATAAAAGTCGTACCGAAAACCATTCACACAAATGTTGAGCTCGTACACAGTACAAATTTGGAGACTGCTTAAAGTTGAACTTGAAATCACAGCTCAAGAAAGTGTCACTTATAGATTGCTCAATGAAATAAATTCTACAGACACCGCTTAATAAAACTTCACCGCTTAAAAAAAGTGGATTACGGACAAAAAAACTTAGAGGTAGACTGAGGTTTCATTGCGAATAAATCTCATTTTGTGAAATTTTAAAACTAAATTTCCCTAAGAGTGTGTGTATAACAGAAACTAACCGAATGTTGAAGACATTGAGAGTTGCTGCTGTCTCTGACTTTCATGACATCTGCACCGACACTTGTCCGTGTTGAATCCTCTCATCAAATGTTTGTCTAGGGGACAGCCGCAGCATCCTCGAGTGTTCCTTGATTCCTGCTTTTGTGGCTTGCTTTTGTTTCGACCGAGCAGATTGTCGATGCTAAAGGCTCCAAGTCCGGATTGTCCACTCATGGTGATATTAAAGTAAAAGTGTGGTTTAATAAGGTATTATAAGCGAAAGCAAAGAGTAAGAGAGCGAATTGATCGGGAGGATATCGTAAACCTTGTTTAGCGGCCCAGTAAACGCGTGACATACCGAAGTGTTTACCAATCGCTGATCAGTGTCTCGCAAAACGTTGACCAGTCACGTGATCTCACCCTCCCGCTCGCTTGACCAATCAGAGGGGTTCACGTGTTTTTGCCATGGCGACCAATGGCGGGTCGGCGGAACTTCACGTGCGTTTACCGTCAAGGTTGTTCAGCCCCAACAGGTCTGGGTAGCAGCAGTCTGATTAGGTTATATGTGGCTAGAAAACATTATCTAGAGCCCGGGGTTGAGCGATATACTCGGCTACCTACTTACAAACTGCTCTCATTATCTTTGTGCTACTTGGAGGCGTATCAGAAGTTTATTGCCGGCAAGACAAGTAAATTGTTTGCATCACCCCAGTACCAACCTTGCCATCATATCACGACATTTAATTCACCTTGTTATTGAATTGTAAATGGGTTATAATCATATCCAGTGAAGGCTGGTGGACTAAAGTCCGTGTCAGATAAGTGGAGCAGTATCACTACTCGGTACTTTCCACTTATTTCATGTTTTTACGGTCATTAACATTATTTACAGGGAAACAAAGCATGTCTAATTTTACGTAATGATCTAAAAATGAATAAACCAATTTTTATAGCTTTAGCGTAATTGATTTGTATTAGTGGGCGTTAGTATCATTATACATATTTAGACGATCCTCCTGCCACTGCTACGATTCCAAATAACTTTCTGATAGATTTTACGCGATTGATCTAATCGTGCTGCGATGATTTGGGTGCTATAATTAAGAGACAAAGAGTTTAACCGACGAATACCCTTCTGTGCAACTATATACTTTGGGGGCAATCGAATGAACCGTATATCGTAATTTGACTTTAATCAACGGAGCTAAATAGGTATAATTTACTATATTTTACTATGTTTATAGACTCGTTACTGTTAGGAGTATCCACGTTTTGTAATTCAATAATCATTTCCAGTCATTAACTTTCCACCGGAAAAACTTTGGTATTTTTTATTTTCAGAGGCTTTAATTCTCAGTAGTTATAAAAAAGTACTGAGAAGAGAATGAACCGTATATCGTAATTTGACTTTAATCAAAGGAGCTAAAAGGTATAATTTACTGTATTTTACTATGTTTATAGACTCGTTATTGTTAGGAGTATCCACGTTTTGTAATTCAATAATCATTATATATATATTACCAGTCATTAATCTTCTATCGGGAAAAGTTTGTATTTATTCTATTTTCAGAGAGTTTCCTCGGTACTAATGACAAGTTGACCATTTTATCTCAAGGCCACTGCTACCAGCTAAAATGTGCACAATAAGTTTACCACGGGCGTTAAGGACGGCACCATCTAAAACTTTAAAGCCAGGCATTGATTCTGAAATACTTAACAGGCTTTAGTCTTAAAATTGGCCACCTCACCATGTTTAATGTCCCCGAAAAGTTTAGTACCCATTTTAGTACCCCCTAGGTTTTAAAAGAAGACCTACAAACAAACATACTTGTCACTTCCTCAAAGGTTTTAACTGGAACTAAGGTGGAAGTGATAATAGCACATTAAAAGTTTCCATTTGGTGTAAATCTTGTGTTAATGGTCTTAAATACGTGCCATGGCTGAGCCACCAGGTACCAGGGTCTCGCTTTAATTGAATTCTTCCCCCCGTAAGGTTACAAGATTGTGAAAGTAATGGGTTTCAAATAAACAGACCTTTACTGATTATCAATAAAGGAAATATCGGAAACATTCCCCCCTTACAATGCCCCTCCTTAATATATACTGTCCTGGTATCCGGGTCATTTTATAATCCTCATAAAATGAGTGTTGTTTGTGACATCAGAGTCCTTAATTTATTAGTTTAAAGATACATTAGATCAACGTTTTAAACCTGTTCAAATCTTAATTTGTATCTCATTAAACTTAAATGAAATACTCTAATTTTCCACTTACTTAAATATTGATCCTATATTAGAATTTTCTAGTATATCAGAAAAATGCTGACTTAATGGTTGAAACTTTTAAAATTAAGTTTATCTATGACGTATCAGAGCAAATACCAAAGCTTATCAATGACTTTCGCCTTTTTTCCCTAATTTCAGACTGAAAGGCAAGTTTTACCTCTAATATCGATAAAGTTATAACGCCGTACCCCTCTATACCTTGTACAATTGTGGACATGATTGGGCGTGGGCAAGCAGTCGACAAAAATCACTGAGTTGTTATCTTCGGGCATGATTTGACTTGAAGCCTAGTTTCCATAAAATGCCCCTCAAGCAATTCTTCTGAATCTAAACGAGGACGAGTAATAACTAAAGCTCATACCTAAGTGACAATGACTTGTGATAATGATATCATGCTCACATTATAACAATAATTTAAGTCATCGCTCTTCGTCATCCCTATCTAGATTGATTTTTCACCAGTTTACTGGCACCTGTTCAAACTTCATGTCTCTTCACCAGTTTACTGGCACCTGTTCAAACTTCATGTCTCTTCACCTGGCCATCTCAATCAGAACAGTTACTTCTATACTACAGCGATATTGACACGCTTGAACTCAATTGTATCAAGGGACATGATAAGGGAAGATCTAATCATTGCCAATCAGAGCAGCACTACTCAGCAGCGGGGGGTGATAGAGATACGATACTTGTCTGCATCTCCAGATCTGCCCGTCCAGGAAGTATTAGACCGTGGCGGGTCAAATTTAATCCCTGATGTCTAACTGATGTCAAATCCTCAGTTCATTAAGGCTGGTAAAAGTACGGGGCTCACTGCTTCCACTAAGATGACACTGTCTCATTGAACTATATATATCTCCTTGTATTCGATCAAGATCATAAGCCATATTGTATTTAGATAGGTTGGTGTTTACTCGCTCACAAAAACGATCCTTTGAGTAGGCATGATTTCCTGCTCCGAGTAGCATTTTATTGGATATATTCACGATATAAAATCATTGCACTATCTCTGCGAAGGGGCGGTTATGAGTGACCTAATAAATCCTGACTGATTTAGTGACACTGAGACTCTAACATATTTTGGTGAGTATTATTTAGTTTTCTCATTACAAGGTTTAAACTTTCTGTTTTTACAGTTACAGTAAAGTTCGTCTGCACAGAACCAGATACCCGTGTCAATAAAACCATTGTACGCCTGTCTGGTGTTGTACGCGTGCGCCCAGGTTGATCCCGGACCATTTTGAAAACCAAATGTGTGCAGCAATGGTAGTTGTGACCTCACTAGTTAGTGTCGGTGTGACTGCCCTCGTAATTTGTGTCAGTCCCGAAATAACTGAATCAGCATGGGCACAGTTTCTATCTGTCGCAGTTAGGTTGTCACGGTTTAGAGAAGTCCGCATTTGGGAAGTTTAAAATGATTGGCTGGCCAGGAGAGCAAGGAGGACGGTGGTTGGTGAATTTAGGTGAAGCCTTACAAAAGAGTTTGAAACAATATTGAATTAGTGTTCCATTCTAAAGTACTTGAAAATTGTTTAAGTACGTAATCAGGGACACGCGACTAAGGACGATAAGAATTTCTCCGTCACGAAAGTAGTTCTCCTGTCATAAGGTAATCCCACCTGCCATGTTTAAAAATTCAATATAATATGATCTGAGTCAGTGCCCGGGGGAGAGGAGGAGAAGGAGCAGCAGACGGACTCGTCCAGACAACAGACAATGTCTGTCAAGTAAACACATTCGCTGTCCCTATTACAGAGTAAACCTGGAAGGGACTGAATGGTACTTACTTACTTAACTAATGTACCCTAATTATGATCAATTCATCTAATTATGTCGTCTAAAGACATAAGTATATTTGTACCAACACAGTGTATCTGTAACTTGAAGTCTCGATCTGAAGGGCTGCTAAAAGCATTGCACGCACTGTTATGTTATCAATAATGGCCCGTCCGAAAGGATCGACAGCGAATGATTTGGCTAAAGTTGAATTAGCGAGCTGGACATATAACCCGGTAATAAGTCAATAGGATGGTCCTCCTGCGAATTGCCCTCGATTGCTGCAAATTATTTTCAAAATTCTGTTAATTCACTTACTAAGAATTGTCGGATGGATTTTAGCACTAATCAAGGGCGGATGGGGACCGATAAATGAGCAGGAATTTCTTGAGTGATTTAACCCTGTTTGGTACGTAGGATTACCTCCTGCTGCTGTTGACCAAACGGATCAAGTCCTCACACGCACACGTGCCATTGACAAATGTTTACCCTCTGCGGAGATTTTAAAGACAGGACGTCTCTTCAAAATTATCCCTTACGTTTTCATCATTCCCACCGAATTCTACGTAAAGTTGAGGTTGTCGGCGTTAAGTTTAACCTTTAAATCAACCTCCCCGATGATTGTGAATGTAAATTTTACTCTGACAATCGAAAATTTGATCCAAAGGCATTATGATTGTCGCCAAGTGGTTGGAAAAACAAATAGCCCCCTAATTCACATAATCAGCGGTCACCTGCAATTCATTATTACGATATCACCACTCAAGTTCTGATCTGGCTAGCGTAGTACTTTAATTTCCGATCCACCAATCGTTTCTCATCTACTACCGTGGTCGGGAAATTTAGACCCCTGCTCACGGATACGCCTACAAGTCGACTTTAAACCGGAACTGATAACGAGAATGTCCATTTTTCAGCTGACGGTTATAGCCGCAAGATACAGCTGTGATCAAACCGACTCCATGAAGGGCCGGTATTTAGAATTGAGAAGAAAGGATTTATTTGTGAGGGGATGTGGATAATATAAGTGTTGTTAAAACATTTAAACGTGATTAAGGTTGATAAGTATAGGATTATGTGCTGGAGGTGACATAACCTTCAATACTTGTGAACAGGCGGTCTCGATAACCAATCCGTCGCTATATGATGATGCTGTACAAATTTAAACATGGTTTATTCCGATGGAATATGATTGAATTTGGAGCATAGGAGAGGTCGTGGCTTGATAAGGAAACTGTGAATTGCTTCAACAATTGGTATGTATAATTCGATTAGACTTAGAACATACTTTCTGGGCAGGTTTTTGTGAGCAGGCAACTCCCATACCAGTAACGTATTGTTCTCAGTAGCCGACGGAAAGTCACCCCGAACTCGCTGGAGATAAGGGGAGTAGGGCAATTCTTCACTTCAAACTATAAGGTGTTAAATATTGGCGAAATATTATATCATAATTCCGGGCTTAAATGCTGGAAATTGGTCTCAATCAACTCAAATTCAATTTATGAATCATGGATTGGTTCGATTGCACCATGTGAAAAATGGGGGGATGATTATCAGAAGTCATCGGTATTTGATAGGAATCTGATCGGCCGGCCAGGACTTGGTATTAAGCCAGCCATTCTGTCCTTCCGTGAAGGACGGAGGTATGGCTGTTAACGTAATGAGTCAATGCAGAAGTAGCAGCGTGAGGAAAGCTGAATCTCTAATCTCAGATATTCATATCCTGGGTCCAATAATACCTGGTACCTGGTTCCTGGGAGTAGGTCCCTGCTCAGTGCTTGAACGAGTTTTATTTTCGGGGCAAGTAGCATTATCGGGCGTGTACTCGTCACGGCAATTGCCCGGTTACGCTCTGAAAGAAAATCAGCTCAGCCGATTTTCAACTTTGGGCTGAATACTGGTCCCGTCAAAGCTGCAAATCAGTGACAAATTTCTGTCGGGGTTTTTGCCAAAACTTAAATTTCAAAGCGTTAACATCACAAAGAATTAGGTCTTAGCCATGTTTAGCATTTTTATCACTCACTTTGTCAAGAAATATATTCAGTGGAGGTTCCCTATTGTTTGCGGGGGACTCAGAGTATGAACCTTATAGCTACTTTGATTATATTTATACTAGCACATACATCACCATTTTGTAGAGGTATATTGATTTCTAGACTTGTCAGTGACCGGGAGGGCGGATCAAAATTCAGGAATCAGGTCGGTTGACAACTTGGATAAGCGGTAACGAATAACAACTAATTGAACTGCAGACATCCTGAGTTTGAAAGTATTCATTTGAGCGGATTCCGATGACTATTGGGTGCCTTTCAAGTCTAAAAACTTATTAGAAAATATCCCACCCGATTTTTCTCCCCGTTGAATTTGAAGATTACACATTTGGAGTTCAACCGTTCTTATACCTAGACACATGTTTTACTTTAACGTATTCCAGTAGGATTGGGCCCGCGATGCTAATAAGAGGAGTCACTAATGGCAATGTGCCCAATATCAAGTTATTTGAACGTCTCAAGTCTCAAGTCTCAACTCTCATTGACCGACTTCATTTGTAAAGCTCCTTTTGTCTTTCCATGAGCCTTTGTTCTTGCGAACAAACAACTACTTCATAACAAGGCTTTGTGTCTCATAACAGTGTGTCTTTGGTGTTATCATTACAAAAGATTCACTGTTCGGATAACTTTCCAACAACAATATAAAATTGTCTGTCCCCACGAGACCCCATAATTGTATCTGGCATTCAGTTGTTTCTCTCCTAAAAAGCTTGTCTGTTGTAGTATAACGGCCATTATCATGTGAAGATATGCGATAACAATAATCCTGATTTCAACCTGTCAGTCTGCAAACCCATACGAAACATGTATCAAAGCAGGCAATTATAAGGAATATCGTGGTACTGAAAGCACAACAGTCAACGGTGTGAAATATCAAGCTTGGGACTCACAGTCCCCCCACGAACACACCCGTACCGCTGAAAATTACCCGGACACTGGATTGGAAGCGAACTTCTGCAGAGACCCTGATGACGAGCCAGGAGTTTGGAGCTATACTACAGACAGTGAAGTCAGGTGGGACTACTGTGATATACCCACGTGCTTTACCACTGATGCCTCCCAGATCTGCTCCGAGGGCAAGCAGAAGGATTACAGGGGAGTTATCAGCACGAGTATCTCAGGAGTTAGGTGCCAGGCGTGGGAGTCAGGATACCCTCATTCTCACACCAGGGTTCCGGCTAATTACCCCGAGTTCGATCTTGAGGCCAACTATTGTCGAAACCCTGGTTTTTACTTAATCTTATCACAATTACCGATTTAAGGTTCTTTAATTAACCCGGGAAATAATTCTTGTGGTTATTAAGTTGGGAACCAGACATATTATCCCTCGAAATTTTATCCACCCGCTATTTATCAAGGGTTCTAGATTTAGAGTTTAGGTTACTGTTGTTAGGGTTATGGTTAGGGTTGGGGTTGGGGCACGATTGTGAGTGGGTGTTAAGTCACGTTAAAGGGTGTGAGTGGGTGTTAAGTCACGTTTTTGGCTGAGTATTGGGGGTTTAAACGTAGTAAGTGATAACACTATGTAATCCATTCCAGATGATGAGATGAGTGCGTGGTGTTACACCATGGACAGTAACAAGCGTTGGGAGTACCTTCTACTAACTGCGAAGAGAGAAAACGGCAGATTAACGCGATGCCTCAGATAGAAGGTGTTCGGATAACAGTCAAGGTTGGAAGTGCGACCAAGAACCTGGCTGTCAAGAAGGATGTCGAGTATGAAACCTTCTGGTGTCTGTTTCTTGGGAGTTGTAACGAATTGATTGTTGACGATTCTACTGTAACTCTGTGGAACGTTATACCCTTTAAATTTGAAGAAATTCAGTGTTACAGGATAGAAAAGGCCAGTGGCCGTCTATCTGGCTTGTCCATCAATGCAGAGTTTCCACAAGTCTCATCAAAACAGGCGGTGACTCTAAATCAACCTGAAAACAGAGAAAACTGCTGGGAATTCGTTCCCGTAGGTGAAAACATTTTCAAGATCAGGAAGAGGTTGGGGAATGAGAATGGAAAGATGTTGACATCAGTTCAAGCTGATGGTGGCGAGTCGTATTCTTTTGTGGCGATGTCTAAGGTTGAATCTAACAACGTCAGTTTGTGGCAACTAACTAAAGTGTAAACATTCGATAACGGGCAATGTCCGCCCATAACGTATAACTATTTACCATGTCAGAAATGTTAAAGAACACGACCAACACATCTGACATCGTGTACCTCGATTAACTGGCCCTTATCAAACCGGAGCACTTTGTTGCCGAACTGACCAGACCTTTAACGCAGCTACCACATTTCATGTTTTGTTAGCCCGAAATTCGCAGATAGACTATAAGTATTATAGAAGGAGGTTACCATGATTAAGTAGCTCAAGCTGTCGAGATTTTGCTGTTTGCGTTACTAATTTTTATTAGCAGTCTTAAATTAAAATATCAAGTTTATAAAATTATTGTCGTATATCATAATACTATAATTCTTACGTAGCAATTGGCTTGTGACTTGTACTTGTAGTCCCTATTAGTCTGTATTGATGACGATGTATTAGATACAATATTGTACACCGTACATAACATGGACATCAAGCAATGTGGACTGTTGTACAAATTGCAGCAACTCACACCAAAAGCTGTGCATATAGGAACGCGCAAATTGTTGATTGTTATATGTATAACAACAAATAATTAAAGGCATAGCATCGATGGCCGAGTGGTTAAGGCGTCAGACTTGAAATCTGATGGGCAATGCCCGCGCAGGTTCGAACCCTGCTCGATGCGATAATTTTGCAAATGATCAATGATGCGACTCCTGACCCCAGATTTGGAAGAAATTGTTACAGTTTTAACATAGCATCGATGGCCGAGTGGTTAAGGCGTCAGACTTGAAATCTGATGGGCAATGCCCGCGCAGGTTCGAACCCTGCTCGATGCGATACTTTTGCAACTGATTCGACTCCTGACCCCAGATTTGGAAGAATTTGTTACCGTTGTAATATAGCATCGATGGCCGAGTGGTTAAGGCGTCAGACTTGAAATCTGATGGGCAATGCCCGCGCAGGTTCGAACCCTGCTCGATGCGATACTTTTGCGACTGATGTGACTCCTGACCTAACCCCAGATTTGGAAGAATTAATTGTTACAGTTGTAATATAGCATCGATGGCTGATTGGTTAAACTTAAGGCGTCCGTCAGACTTGAAATCTGATGGGCAATGCCCGCGCAGGTTCGAACCCTGCTCGATGCGATAATTTTGCAAATGATCAATGATGCGATTCCTGACCCAAAATTTGGAAGAATTTGTTACAATTGTAAATGTAACATAGCATCGATGGCCAAGTGGTTGAGGCGTCACTTTCAAAAATCTGAAGTGCAATACCTGCGCAGGTTCGAATTGCCTGCTCGATGCGATCCTTTTGCAAATGATGCAATTATTTTGTACTAAAACTTTCCACGTTTGTCCACGTCTGACGTCGATCTTATCTCCAGATTTTTAAAAATTTCTAGACACAGTTGTAACATTGAGCATAAAATCAATGGTTGGATCGGACTTCGACGCGCCGTGCAAACTAGCATTCTTGCTTCACAAACTGAATTTCTTGCTTCGCATCGACGAGATGGTTGCAATTCAACGATCTAAAAGGGTTAACATTGTCAATTATCAATATTGATGACCGAAATTTGTTTATGGTAGGCAATGCATGATGCGCCATCGACAGTGAGCCGCGCGTGCCGACTGTAAAATGATTTTTTAGCGCTAATTTCGGCCAGCCCAAAATTCTTGAAACAAATGCGTGCGTATTAAGTAACCTTTCCTTATTTCAATTTTAACAAAAATTGGTTAGCTTACTCATAGACTTACAAGGAAAGTGTATTTTCCCCTATTTTACCCATTTGCATTACTATATCAATTCCGATATCCACCAAATTTTTCGAACAATTGTGAAAGCGGAAAGCCGTATTGAAAGGTTTTCACTAATTTTCAGAGTGATCTCATTCAAGGAACCGAAAATATAACAGAATAATACGACGAAAATCAACGAAGTACGCCAAATTACGCGACTTTTACACCAACTTTTGTCTTTCACTTTAGCTCCAAAAGCCGCGCACCATCAAATATAAATATATATTGTAGCGCGATGCGTTACTGTGCCGCGCCGCGCACTCAATAAGGCTTCTCACAGCTAGATCGGCAAAATGCGCTACTGTGCCGCGCCGAGCTGCCATGAATTGACATCGTCAATTAAAAATATATATAAAAATAAACTTGCTCGGATTTTTAAAATGTTTGTACCACTGCACTGTTTTCTAGAGACTGTGAGAATTTTCACAATACCAAATTTGTCATACCTTTTTGGAAAAATCAGGGAGTTTCGCTTAGGTGCCATATTTGATGCTGCGCGGCTTTTGTGTTTTGGAGCAAAAATAGCTGTAAAAGTCGCGTAATTTGACCAAATTCGTTGATTTTTGTCGTATTATTCGGATATATCTTTAGTTCCTTGAATGAGATCATTCTGAAAATTGGCGACGACCTTCCAGTAGGGCTTTCACAACTGTCCGAAAAATTTGGTGGATATCGGAGTTGATATAGAGATCAAAATGGGGCAAAATACGCTGCTTTTAGCTGTAACATAATGTTTGATAGTTGGATATGCTTTAAGTTTTTCGGACACTTTCTTGTAAGTTTATGAGTAAGCTTACCAATTTTTGTTGCAATTGCACCCCGGCGAACGCCGCGGGCTTCATATTGCTGCGCGTGTTAAAACAAATTTTCGGCATAAATTTGTCAGGAGATCGACTGTAATTCCGTTTACGAACCTTTTAAAGATATTTGACAGTGCCGATTCTATCCCTTAAAGGATTTTCAATAGTGCCGAGGAAAAATAAAACATCAAATTCATTCATCTGAATATTAGTAAAGGTTATAATGATTATATCAAATCAAGATTTCAAACGCGTACAATCATTAACTCTAATCAAGTATTGTCAACTGTGATTAAAGATCATAGCAAAGTATGCTATCCTATATGTAAGCTACAATGAGGAAGAAACAGCATTATACAACAGTATTACAATAATAAATATATGGATAATACCAAAATGTAACTATTACTGCTAATAAATACAGTTTAAAGATAAACTTATCAAATTTAAAATTGACACGAAACTAATACGCGGTTTATATTAGAATGCAACACAAACACTAAACACATCAAATAGAAACAAAAAAAGATATCTCGCACTGTCAGTCATTACATATTACAATTATATAAATAACACCGAAGAACTCATATATCAACAGCTCGAGTAGCGCACACTACTATTCCAATTTGAGTGTCTGACAGTGGCAGGGGAAGCGTCCAAGGTTCGATGCCGCGACCGTGATCTTTTAAACATTTTGTGAAAGTCGTCTTTGTTTAAGAAGGTCCACTTCCAGTAGCCCATTTTCTCCCCACATAACATTTCTTCATCCTCAGTGCTCAGCAAGACCTGTTTTATTTTCCATTACAGTAATTCCATGTTCCAATGAAATCTAACTCTTCAATTTTAATATCAGCGGTCGGATTAGATCCTGAAATATGGAAGTGAAACTCAGTAAATTTTTACAGTCAAGCAATACTATAACTTCTATTCGTAAAATTTTACAAGATTTGTTTCCAGTTTCGGACAAATTCACAATATTACTACATAACAACTTAGTAATGTAAGCAGTAAGGGCCCTCTCCAAATTTTAATCTGTAGAAGTGCACGTGCAAATAACGCGCAGCTTTAATGCAAAAATACGTGTGTGCTCTTGGCGCGCGCTAAAAGTCTGTGCTGAAAATATTGGTTTGGTACCGAGAGTTTTAAAATTCCCGCCAATTTCCAGAAGATGAATCCGAGATTTTGGAAACATTTGAGACAACTTCTGATACATGTTTTTCGGCTGTATATGTCCGTGAACTGAGTGGGATTTGCCCTGGTATGATAGAGGGGCATGTGTACTAACATTTCCAGCCACTTAGAAGTGCAAAGTATACCCCTGGTTCATGGAATGAACGAAATGAACACAAAATGAACATTTTCCTAGAATCCCCTGAATTAAACTAAAACCGATTGGAATCGATCGGTATTGATATCAGGAGTGTCCCTGAGAAGTTTGGTGTGCCTAGCATGTTCAGAAAGGGCTCTGGGGCAATGTTTCCATTTTGGTTTCAGAGTAGTTGAGATGGTGGAAACATTTGAGACAAATTTGGAAACATGCTTTTGCAGCCGTATTTATGCTTGTACTGACTTGGAATCTATCTGGTATGGTAGAGGGACACATGTACTAACATTTCCAGCCACTTAGAAGTGCAAAGTATACCCCTGGTTCATGGAATGAACGAAATGAACACAAAATGAACATTTTCCTAGAATCCCCTGAATTAAACTAAAACCGATTGGAATCGATCGGTATTGATACCAGGAGTGTCCCTGAGAAGTTTGGTGTGCCTAGCATGTTCAGAAAGGGCTCTGGGGCAATGTTTCCATTTTGGTTTCAGAGTAGTTGAGATGGTGGAAACATTTGAGACAAATTTAGAAACATGCTTTTGCAGCCAAACTTCTCAGGGACACTCCTGGTATCAATACCGATCGATTCCAATCGGTTTTAGCCCAATTCAGGGGATTCTAGGAAAATGTTCATTTTGTGTTCATTTCGTTCATTCCATGAACCAGGGGAGTATTTTGCACTTCTAAGTGGCTGGAAATGTTAGTACATGTGTCCCTCTACCATACCAGATAGATTCCAAGTCAGTACAAGCATAAATACGGCTGCAAAAGCATGTTTCCAAATTTGTCTCAAATGTTTCCACGATCTCAACTACTCTGAAACCAAAATGGAAACATTGCCCCAGAGTCCTTTCTGAACATGCTAGGCACACCAAACTTCTCAGGGACACTCCTGGTATCAATACCGATCGATTCCAATCGGTTTTAGCCCAATTCAGGGGATTCTAGGGAAATGTTCATTTTGTGTTCATTTCGTTCATTCCATGAACCAGGGGAGTATTTTACACTTCTAAGTGGCTGGAAATGTTAGTACACGTGTCCCTCTACCATACCAGATAGATTCCAAGTCAGTACAACCATAAATACGGCTGTAAAAGCCTTGTCACACTTTTGTCTCAATTCTGTCTCATGTTTCCAAAATGTTTCCAAAATCTCGGATTCATGAACTCCCAATTTCAAACTACAGAAAAAGAATCCGAAATTTTGGGACAGCCTAAAACATATTCTGATTAATGCTTTTCGACTTTATTTGTCCGTAAACTGACAACTACAGCAAATCTATCTTCTCTACGATCTACGAACTGGGCCCGAGTTACTTGTTTTAAAATACAGCAAATCCATCTTCTCTACGAACTGGGCCCGAGTTACTTGTTTTAAAATACAGCAAATCCATCTTCTCTACGAACTGGGCCCGAGTTACTTGTTTTAAAATACAGCAAATCCATCTTCTCTACGAACTGGGCCCGAGTTAGGTACTTGTTTTAAAATACAGCAAATCCATCTTCTCTACGAACTGGGCCCGAGTTACTTGTTTTAAAATACAGCAAATCCATCTTCTCTACGAACTGGGCCCGAGTTACTTGTTTTAAAATACAGCAAATCCATCTTCTCTACGAACTGGGCCCGAGTTACTTGTTTTAAAATACAGCAAATCCATCTTCTCTACGAACTGGGCCCGAGTTACTTGTTTTAAAATACAGCAAATCCATCTTCTCTACGAACTGGGCCCGAGTTACTTGTTTTAAAATACAGCAAATCCATCTTCTCTACGAACTGGGCCCGAGTTACTTGTTTTAAAATACAGCAAATCCATCTTCTCTACGAACTGGGCCCGAGTTACTTGTTTTAAAATACAGCAAATCCATCTTCTCTACGAACTGGGCCCGAGTTACTTGTTTTAAAATACAGCAAATCCATCTTCTCTACGAACTGGGCCCGAGTTACTTGTTTTAAAATACAGCAAATCCATCTTCTCTACGAACTGGGCCCGAGTTACTTGTTTTAAAATACAGCAAATCCATCTTCTCTACGAACTGGGCCCGAGTTACTTGTTTTAAAATACAGCAAATCCATCTTCTCTACGAACTGGGCCCGAGTTACTTGTTTTAAAATACAGCAAATCCATCTTCTCTACGAACTGGGCCCGAGTTACTTGTTTTAAAATACAGCAAATCCATCTTCTCTACGAACTGGGCCCGAGTTACTTGTTTTAAAATACAGCAAATCCATCTTCTCTACGAACTGGGCCCGAGTTACTTGTTTTAAAATACAGCAAATCCATCTTCTCTACGAACTGGGCCCGAGTTACTTGTTTTAAAATACAGCAAATCCATCTTCTCTACGAACTGGGCCCGAGTTAGGTACTTGTTTTAAAATACAGCAAATCCATCTTCTCTACGAACTGGGCCCGAGTTACTTGTTTTAAAATACAGCAAATCCATCTTCTCTACGAACTGGGCCCGAGTTACTTGTTTTAAAATACAGCAAATCCATCTTCTCTACAAACTGGGCCCGAGTTACTTGTTTTAAAATACAGCAAATCCATCTTCTCTACGAACTGGGCCAGAGTTACTTGTTTTAAAATACAGCAAATCCATCTTCTCTACGAACTGGGCCCGAGTTACTTGTTTTAAAATACAGCAAATCCATCTTCTCTACGAACTGGGCCCGAGTTACTTGTTTTAAAATACAGCAAATCCATCTTCTCTACGAACTGGGCCCGAGTTACTTGTTTTAAAATACAGCAAATCCATCTTCTCTACGAACTGGGCCCGAGTTACTTGTTTTAAAATACAGCAAATCCATCTTCTCTACGAACTGGGCCCGAGTTACTTGTTTTAAAATACAGCAAATCCATCTTCTCTACGAACTGGGCCCGAGTTACTTGTTTTAAAATACAGCAAATCCATCTTCTCTACGAACTGGGCCCGAGTTAGGTACTTGTTTTAAAATACAGCAAATCCATCTTCTCTACGAACTGGGCCCGAGTTACTTGTTTTAAAATACAGCAAATCCATCTTCTCTACGAACTTGGCCCGAGTTACTTGTTTTAAAATACAGCAAATCCATCTTCTCTACGAACTGGGCCCGAGTTACTTGTTTTAAAATACAGCAAATCCATCTTCTCTACGAACTGGGCCCGAGTTACTTGTTTTAAAATACAGCAAATCCATCTTCTCTACGAACTGGGCCCGAGTTACTTGTTTTAAAATACAGCAAATCCATCTTCTCTACGAACTGGGCCCGAGTTACTTGTTTTAAAATACAGCAAATCCATCTTCTCTACGAACTGGGCCCGAGTTACTTGTTTTAAAATACAGCAAATCCATCTTCTCTACGAACTGGGCCCGAGTTACTTGTTTTAAAATACGACAAAGTTAACTGCTGAATGTTCCCGGTCAAAAATTAATTATAGTTTATATTAAAATATTGTCTATTGTCTATGTTTTACTATAATGCTGGGAGCCTTGTTGTAAATAATAGGGTACATACCATTCCTTGAAAGTCGTTATTTCGGAGTGAGCAATCATTTTGTTGACTAGCGAATCTAAATTGAAATAGTCGAATATCACTCAATTTCAGTTGCAGGTCGACATCCTTAAAATTAGAGAGCAAATAATTTTATTTTGTACTCTACTTCAGTCAATATAAATAGAAATTACAGCAATTTGAAGTAACAGCATATCAAGCTATATCATACATAATTATGAAAGCCTCGCAGAGATCTCGATTAAATCTGTAAACGTACATTTAACGGTAAGATATATAGATAGCGCGCAATATAAGCGCACGCATAAAACCAATATGGCTGCCACACAAAGCTACAAACTGGAACAAGAAATGAAAATTGTGAATTCAACCAGCTTGGATACTATTATCCAACGCGACATTGGTTTGGGCGCATTATCGACAAGTTTTAAATGCGCGGAACATTTTTGTGCGCGGCACTAGCATTTTAAATTTTCTAAATTCAAATCATAGCCAGAGTTATGGTTATTTTTCAAGACAAATTTTGAGGCAAATTTTACGTGTAAATTATTCATTTTTCATTCATGATCACTCATAATTTGAACAATTTACCTTGGATTGAATTGAACTCTTCAGTATTCGATGATTAAAACAATTGTTTTAAGAACAGAGTAGTTTTAAAGCTAAACATTCGCAATTTGTCTTAACAGGAGTCTTGGGAGAATTATAAAAATGAAATTTAAACGTTTTAGCGGCGCATGAAGCCCGCGGCATTCGCTGGGGTGAATTGGAGGTCGGGAAGGATTCTGAATATCTATTTGTTTGAAGAAAATTGTGCTGGCCGAAATTAGCGCTAAAAAACAGATGATGATTAACCACTCTACACTGTACACTCGACTGTCACGTGACTTTTTCAACCCGTTCTCTAGCTCCCCCTCAGATATTAAAGAAGAGGAAGGAGAGAAGGAGGAACCACACAAAGGAATGTACAACGTGGCAGGAGGAGACCTCATCACCCAAATCTACGCCGCCTCCGGGCAACTACTGGACCTCACCTACCGGGCTGGCCGGCTCTATCATACCTCACCTACCGGGCTAAAACACGGGTCTTCATAGTGATATGACTTTGATTTCGAATAGACTGATATTTATTGACATTTTTGGTTAGGTCCATGGTTAGGACATTGGACAGTTGTTATTTTTTCTCTAGCTGGTTCTGAACGACTTTTCGAAACCATACTCCTCTAATCTGATACCAACTCTAACCCTAACCCAATCCTTAACAAAAACATATGCTAAAACCCTAACCCTAACGGGAAATTAGACTAACTTCCTTATACGGTCATATCACGTGATCGAGACAGTTTCTCGCCAATATCTCGTCAGGGGAGCATTTAAACCCTATGTCATGGGGGTGATTCGGAATCAGCGTCCGAAAATACATCGATTGAAGTTGGTTACAACCGTCGGGGGCCCTTTTAGAAAAATCTCGAAGATCGACTGTAGAGTGATTTAGCACGCTCGCTAAAAAACCATCCTACAGTCGGCACGCGCGGCTCACTGTCGATGGCGCATTACCTAGATAGGGTTTCCTGGAGATTAGTCGTTCAGGACCAGCTAGAGAACTTACTGGGCCGCGCTCAGCTTGTCATTCCACCTAATCTTTATGTTTATGAACATGATAGCCTGAGGTCCCCAGGTAACTAGAGAACGGGTTGAAAAAGTCACGTGACAGTCGAGTGTAAAGTGATTAATCACGCTCCTACTAAATCGCGCGAATCGCTCCGCGCCCAAATTTAAGAAAATTCTTGTGAAAAGGCCCTTTAGGTGTGTAATTGATTTGAATTATGTATGATGTAGTGCGCCATCGACAGTGAGCCGCTTACTGGGCCGCGCTCAGCCTGTCATTCCGCCTAATCTCTATATGTTTATGAACATGATAGCCTGAGGTCCCCAGGTAATGAGCCGCGCGTGCCGACTGTAGGATGGTTTTTTAGCGCTAATATATTTCGGCTTGATTGACGATGTCAATTCATCTCAGCTCGGCGCGGCACAGTAGCGCATTTTGCCGATCTGTCGCTGTGAGAAGCCTCATTGAGTGCGCGGCGCGGCACAGTAACGCATCGCGCTACAAATTTCGGCCAGCACAAATCTCTTGAAACAAATGCGCATTGAGTAACCTTCCCTTGATCCAATTTTAACAAAAATTGGTCTGCTTACTCATAAACTTACAAGGAATCCCCCCATGGTACGGAATCCTCCCACCCGGAGGCTTCCCTGTAATAATGTCATGTTGCAGGTTTGTTACAATCGATCGTAACTAATATAATAATATTCTATTAACTTATGTTAAACTTAATATCATAACTTAAAATAATTATTGTTCCGGACGGTAGTGATATTGCGGGGTGTAACAAGTTTACAGTTATAACTTCACTTTATTAATAATTGTTTGTTGTAATAATTGTTTTGTTAAACCAATGATTGTTTGGTGTATTTCTCTAACCAACATAATGGTCAGGCATGTACGGAGACCTCCCTGCTAGCTCCTGCTCCTACGAGGACCTAATCCTTCTGATAGAGAAACTGATAGAACTCCTCTGTCCTGGTCTTCCGCTGGTCAAGACCAGTTTGTACGAGCTGGAGCTCTTGTTCCATCCCTGGGTGGAAAGTTGGTACGCTAGTCCAGACCATGGAACATCAACGTCCTGCTGTTATTCAGAGCACTGATGTGGCTGGACGGAAATCCAGCCTCTAAAATTAGACTTGTTCTTCCCGGTATGTGGTGTTTGTGGGAAGAGTGCCGTTAATAAAAAATAATCTTCTTTTCCTGTAGCTTATATGATATCCTAATCTTGAACCCGTCTCTGATCCTGATCTAATACTGCAGTAATTATAGTGAGTAAGATAGAAGTAGTTAATAAACCTCTCCAAAAACGGTTGACAGGTCGAGTCGTGGCTAAGTAATGAACGAATGAGAGCTCATTTTTGTCACGTGACAGCACTACTATGAAATATCCCTCATTATATATTCTCTACTCTGTGATCACCCTCCCCCTCAGATATTCAAGAAGAGGAAGGAGAGAAGGAGGAACCACACAAAGGAATGTACAACGTGGCAGGAGGAGACCTCATCACCCAAATCTACGCCGCCTCCGGGCAACTACTGGACCTCACCTACCGGGCTGGCCGGCTCTATCATACCTCACCTACCGGGCTAAAACACGGGTCTTCATAGTGATATGACTTTGATTTCGAATAGACTGATATTTATTGACATTTTTGGTTAGGTCCATGGTTAGGACATTGGACAGTTGTTATTTTTTACTTAGTTTGGTAATGTTATAATAATCTTGATGTCAACTGTTTTATAGCGTAAATATTCTGTTATTCTAACAGCACCGTTATAAAAGTGTTTTAATCCTTCAAACATATGTAGCTGATAGTGATATAAATATAATAACATATTGTAAAATTATTGAAATGTGACGTGCTCTGGTATATAATATAATATGGTAGAATCTAGGTAGAATCTAGGTAGATAAGAATCTGGTAGAATGTAGAATTTTGATCTATTTAACAGTTGGAGGCACGTTTAAGAGGCAAATCGATCTCAATTTCAATTGCTCTTTCATAAATCTCATCGTTGATAAACAGAGCTACAAATCTAAACAATTGTGAGATTTATCCTTGGCCGTGTAACAACTTCAAATTGTGGTATTTTCGCGATGCAAAACTGAAAACAAACCTTAAATGAAATTGAATCAAAACTTGCGGGAACAATGTTATTGCAATGTTATTGATAATTCGTAAATTCGTGCAACCTTATAGTTACATAGTGCCTATAATTCAATTAACTAATTACAGGCCATGCGTTTCATAAACCATATTATGGCCCATTTCGGTCACAAATCGGAGCTTAGATTGAGTTCATTGCACGCGCGGTGGACAAATTGTGTAAAAACAACTATGCTGTCACAAATAATGCGCGCTATGGAGGTGACCAATAAAATCACGGCATTAAAACATGTGATAGCGCGCTGGCGAGTGAATTAGTAAAATCCGAGGGAGGGAGGGAGGGAGGGAGGGAGGGAGGGAGGGAGGGAGGGAGGGAGGGAGGGAGGGAGGGAGGGACGGAGGGCTAGTTGAAAGGTTGGTTACTGTCGACCAGTCTACAGTAGTGAGTTCCTTGTTGATCAAGGCCCAGTCAGCAGCATTGAAGTTGATGTCATCAAGTGCTGTGACAGGGCGCTGTACTGTTTCCTTGCTGGTTGCTCAAGTAGGAACTGCGGGTGGAGGAGAGTACAGGTCACTATGGCGTGGTCTGATTTCTCCGTCTTTGACACTGATAAACCGTGGATTAAATCGATATTGTTGGAGTGGATCACGTCAAGGATGTTTTGGTCCTTCCTAGTGGGTTCGTCGACTAGCTGCTCTAGGAAGTTTGAAGATATGAACTCCATAAAGCTATAAAGGCTAGTCCCGAGTTCGTGTCGGAAGCCGATTTGCTGGAGTTTGGTTTGATAGACTTACTGGACCAGTCTACAAACGGCAAACTATAGTAGCCTGCAATGTAGAGTTCAGGAGCGCCAAGGAGGTGGTCTATAAAGTCTTGAATCACACACAAACAGTCATCAAACTTGTCGACTGGTGCCTGTGGAGGGCGGTACACGCCAACAAGGAGAAAGTTACTGCTAGCGATGTGAACCATTGCAACTATACAATAGGAGTTAGAGTACACTTTTATCGTGTCAGCAGGTAAATAGTGGTGTAGGTAGATAGCTACACCGCCTTGAGCACGTTTGTCTTGATCAGCTCTGATGCTACTGTAGCCAGGGATACACGTCTCTGCTTCAACATGGTATGGCTTCAGATGAGTCTCAGTCACAATGAAGAAGGGAGTGTAGAGCGGGCTGGTTGCTAAATTCTCGTGGAGAGATTTTAACTTCCATTGCTGGTTCTTTATCCCAGGATTCATTCCTTGTATGTTAAGAAGAAATGTTGAGGAGGTCGGAAGTATTGACTTGAGGTCTACTTTCCCAGCAGCGGTTGGTAGAGAGCAGCTTGTTGCAGGTGCTGTGCACTGCAGTGTGCAGGGAAGCCCTGGGGAGATGAGGGGCTTGTTGGTAGGGTTGCTGAGCTACAGTTGAGTACTGAACACCTGGACGAAGATATATCTGGGAGGGTAGATAAGAGGCCATCATTGATTCGAGTGATTTTTGAATCATGCACGAAATCTCTTACGTCCAATTCACTTTCAACTGGTCCAAATGCTGGAGAAGATCCTTGTTGCTAAAATATTTCGAAGCATTTTTATCTTGAGAGTTGAGGCGGCTTCAAAGTTGAT